TTCTAGCTTTAGGAATAAACAACTCAAAATACAAAATGACTTAAGTCAAGTTGTACTTCCCATTTCACTCCTTAAAGCTAAGGTAGAATTAACTGGAGTCTTCTGGGAATCTGTTATAGCAGCACCACATGTGAAATGTAGACTACTGTGTTGACTGAAAGTGAAGCAGATTTTTTTTAATTCCCATTGAACCAACATTAGTTAGTTTTCAAGTATTGGTTAACAGGGATCTGATTGGTTACAGGTTTGAGTACCATTGGAAAACCAGGAAGTCCTGATCGGTTGTTTCGCCCTAGTCTGGGATTCTTGAGTATTACACATCCAATGAGGTCCACAATCAGAACTAGCAAGATACACGAAGTCCTGAAAGAGAAGAGTTACTCGCCTATACCATTGGCTAGCAGTAGAGCTAAATATTACGAATTCGAAGTGGTTGGAATCCATAGGCCATTGGGTTGGGTCCCAGTGGCTAAATGGTCTGTGAGCTCACCTTGTAACAAGAAGCTTCTGAGTTTGAATCCTGGTGGGTGCATACTGATGAGGAGTCTCACTAGAGGATTGGACAGCTGACCAGGAAGCCTTGGTTTTCCAGTGGTTCTCTAACTGACGTCAGCTAGTGATTAAACTTTCAAATAATTAATTTACTAGTTATGTGCTTTAAGGAGGAATTGACTGCCAAATAAATCCTGGTTTTAACTAAGTCACTGACTGTCTTATCAGAATAATTATTTCAGTTAAATTTACAGGCATGCTGTTTTATTAACAGTTCCCTAGATATTGAATGAAGTATATCATTTTCACTTACGGAATCCTTCGAAGTGAGGACAGGAGTAAGACAAGGCTGCCTACTTTCGCCAATGAATTTCCTGATTGCAGTAGATTGGATAATGCGACAAAGAGCGGGCAATGAGGAAACAGGCATAAAATGAACTCACACAAAAAACTTTGAGGATCTGGACTTCGCCGATGATATATGTCTGATTTCTCACAATCTGGAAGATATGCAAGTAAAAAGTAACAAGTTGGCAGAAGAAGCATCAAAGGTAGGACTTCAGGTGAACATAGAGAAAACAGAGGTGATGAATATTCCTGGACAAGAACAACAACAACAGACAACGATCAGCATAAATGGGAGGAACCTGAAAGAAACAAACTCTTTTACCTACCTGGGAAGCATCGTTTCAACTACAGGAGGAACTGATGAGGAAAAGCAAGACAAGCTTTCATTAGTCTCAAGTCTGTGCGGAGGTCAACAGATTTTCAACTCCAATGTGAAGTCAGTGCTACTCAACATACAGATCAGAGACTTGCACTGCGCGTCATAAAGAGCATCTCAAACAAACTACAGATCTTCATTAACAGTTGTCTTCGATCAATACTCAAGATCACATGGCCGGAAAGGATCAGCAACAGAGATCTCTGGGAGCGAACCAACCAGGAACCGATTGTGTAACAAATAGGAAGGAAGAAATGGAGATGGATTGGCCATACTCTGAGGAAACAATCCATCAAGTAACACCACTAGACAAGCCATTGCTCGAGTGGAACCCGAAAGGGAAGCGGCGAGTTGGTCGTCAGTGCGAGGGTGGGTGACATGGAGGAGGTCATGTGAAGGGGAGATGCAAACATGTGGGCAGACTTGGAGCCAGGTGAAAACTCTAGCAGAGAACCGAACGCAATGGAGACACGCAGCTGAAGCCCTATGTTCCTCTAGGAATTAAAGGAAACAATAATAATGATATCATTTTCAATGATTGATGACCAGTTTAATTTGGTATCTGACAATCACTAACATTGGTTTGTGTGAATGTAAGAATTATTCTGCTACATAAATTATTTCTTGTAACTACTGATCCAAGGTATGATCCACAAAGAATATGTGTATACATATATAATTGTGAACATTAGCCTAACACTAGAATAAGATTAATTACTTTTTGGTTGTAAAGTTTTTATAATTAACTTCATAGACAGTTCGATTTCTGTGACGTATAATAGTTTAAAATCCTGCTTTACATTTGACATTTATTTAAAAGCTTATTTATTTGTGTTATTCCAATATACCATTGCGATAAGTCAGTTGAATATATCCGTATCTATTATGAAAGTAAACTTGGCCAATAAATCTCATTTCACTATTATACCTCATAATCGGAGAGAAACTAATGAGCTTTTCTCAGGAAGTTTTGTTTATGACTGCAGAAAATAATTAATGAATGTTGCGGCTGGCTAAAAAAGTCAACTAATACTTAGGAGCACTGATTATTTATGAACGTGTGGCAGAGAAGACATTCAGATTTAAGAGTGATATTTTTTGATTGGACACTAGTAACTAGTGTGACGTGTCTAGTCCTTTCTTTGGTGCAGACTGAAATCTATCAGTCAGTCAGGTTTGAAATGTGGCCACCATTCTAGGTAGCTCGCCATCAGTGGTACCGTCTGTGACTGCAGCACTGGGTGACGCGGGTTTGAATCTCAGAAGGGACATGAGTTCCTCCAAGGTTGCAGATACGCATTGCTGACGAGTGCCAACTAGCAAGAAACTTAGGTCCGAGGCTTCCTGCGATGGCCTCCAACTATCTAATAAGAGTGATATTTCCAATAATCAGTTTATTGGTTTACAAGTGTTTGGAGAATTCTCTACATTCATTTTGTAACTTTAAATTGAAAACATGCAGTGATGAAATTGGATTAAATAGAGTTTAACGCTGTCATCATTACGATCTGATACCGATTAGAAGTCATTTAGGAGTGACAGGATCTAAACAGAACTGTTTCTACAATGTTTAAGCCATGCAGTAAGCACTGTATGCTTTGCGATCATATGAATATCATTCTTTCAATTTGTAATGTGGTATGACTATTACTTGGTCCCACTGACTGGATGCTATCTTGGTATTTATATATATAGGTGTTTGAACAAATTTATCCCATAGTCAGTAGATTCTAAATTTTGTTCTTCACAAACCTTCACCAGATAGATACTGGAAATTGATGTATTTCATTTCCTGCCAATGATTATTGAGCAAAGTGAAATTTCCGTGTTTTGACGAGATTTTGAGATATTTTGTGTTTAAACTCTTGCATAACTTTATGCAATTAGTGTGATGACCAAACCTAAATATTTTGGTATGAACACGAGAAACTAGTGGATACATTGTTCAGTATAGCTTGCCAAACATCCACGAGTCACGTACAATTGAAATTCACGTTCGAACAATTTCAGAACATGGTTTCATGCGGTAGAATCTGTTGTACTATTGATCAATAATGCAAAAAAAGTACAAAAGCAAGAGACTACGTCATCACGGCTGTCCAGCAGCTAAATAGTCCTTTGGTTTCTCAGGTATAAAATACATGTTGTGTAAAAAAAATTAATTAATCAAACTCAACCGTAAAATACCTGAGAATCAAGGAGAATATTCTCAACGAGATGGAATCAAAAATCTGACTGCAAGGATCTAACAGATCAAAAAATATTTTCTGGTAGACAGTTCAAGATCAAATAGTCAATCCACAGAGTAACCTTGAATTCCTTCAAATGAAATCACAGTAGGTAAACAACACATTACATTCAATAGTCCATCATCAAACAACAATAAAGTGAAGCATAATGAATAGTAATCATCCAAAGACAAAGACCCATAACAATGACTAAGTCAAAAGAACAGTGACATACCGATATGAGGGATAGAATAATAAGTACAAACCTGTAGATGGATATTCTGATTAGGATTTTCAAATCAGCTATTCTGCTACAAATATCCATCAAATTAGAAATTATCCTTGATATTATTCCAATCAAAGCACATTCTTTCTAAGCTTTTGCTTTCTTAAATGTGTATATTTAGTACTTAAAAGTACGTAAGAACATAGAAATGTTTACACATTTTAAAAGACTGACACTATGGGAAAGGAATCTACCATATGTTTAGAAAAATCTTTCGTCGAATCACTTATTTTTTATACTATGTGATCTGAGACGTGTATATTTAATTGGAAATATCTTAGAAAAGAAGTCTAATAGACTGTTGAATACATCCCTTACAGTGTGACTGAAATAACCTCCTATCATTATAAGATTTCGTTGTTTGGAACAACTCAATTCCAAAAACTGAGTCATTTATTTACCGCCACCAATAATTTGTTTTGTTATACTTCTGTTTATGGACATGTAAATACCAAAAATCGATTTTGGTTTCACAGAGCTTAGTATATAAGTATTTCTTTGCCTTCAGTATGTCTATAGGTTAGGTGTTAGAATGCAAGTCGAAAATGTCTGGTAGACATGTTAGTAAATTTATTTTTACTTGTTAAACATGAGATCAAATAAATAATGTATTTCTACTGAGAGACAAAAAAGATTTACGGTTATCGGGTTAACATGAGTAAGTTACAGCAAGACAAACTTGCTGCGCTTTCACTTAAATAAACTTGAATAGGTGGAGTGGAGGTAATTAATTTAGGTTAGAATTTCTTCAAGTATTTGGTTTTATTTGATTTTGCACTATGCATTAAGACAATTTCTGTAACCGTATCGTTTGGCTGTTTTATAGGTGTTTTATCAACTTTCTTACACTATTGGAATATCTTTTGTGGCGTTTACAATATTATGCGCAAAAACACCTAGCGTTATCCCAAAAAACGGCATCACATGAATTCATTCTTTGTGAATTAGTAGTACTTTATACATGCACATTCAATTTCTTAGTGGTAGGTCAAGTTAAGGTGCAATGGTTGAACGTTGAAATTTAGTGGTATTTTTAAAGTTTTCTTTTTTTTTTCTTGTGCACTTTGTAAATGACTGAAATAATATGCCTTCTCTGTAAGTGCTTAGCAATTAGAAATAATGATTCAAAAACATTTAATAATTTCATGGATGGAATGATAAGGAAACCTCCTTATTTTTTCTATTAATACTAAGTTTAAGAATGAACTTAAACTAATCTATTTCCTGTGATGCTTTATGATTGTTTTATGCTTTTATTATGTTTTAATAGCACGTTCACAAAGCCGACCACCAAAAGAAGATGATACAATGAGTATATCCACTGAAGGTAATTCCAAAAGTTGTGTTACTAGCCGATCCATTCATCCAACACACAGATTAACTGTTACTACACGTCGAACTGCACCAGTAGATACAGCTGATTGTATAGCTGCAATGGAAGTTGTCAGACAAATAAAACTAAGCAGTGGTGTTCAAGATATTCTGCCTTTTAACAGTAAAAAAGTTAGTCAATCAGTGAGTGGTGATTCAACTCGTAGAGGAATGACAAATCAACATAATCAAGAAATTAAAGAAACAGAATCTAAACTTATGACTGTTAATAATAGAAAATCTGCTAAATGTGAATCCCGTTCAAGAACAAAGCATACAAGTAAAAATAACTCTGTTTTAGATAATGGAATGCATCAGAAAGACTCTAGTCGACATTTGAGCGTCAATGAGAACGTAAGTTTACTAAAATACTCTGCGAAACTGTTTTATTTTATACACGCTTGCTTGATATGTTTTTTGTTTCTTTTGCATTTCGAGTGGAACATAGGGCTTCAAGCTTGAGCTTCGTAGTTTCTGTAACAATGGTGTTTAGTTTTACAGGATGAAGTTGCTAGCCTTACACCCAACCTTTACTCTTCTCCACGCCTACTACTGGCTAAGTGAGGAGTGGGAATGAGTCAGCCGAGGATCTAACCTCGGAACACATGCGTGAATGGTGAGCAGTCTACCGCTGAACCACCGATGAACACTTGTTTGATATATGCTTGATTAATAATTTACAGTAAATCTGCAGCTGACCATATTAAATTAACGTGGTATATCTGGTCATTTAAAGTTAATTTATTGTCGTTGTTGTTGTTGTTGCTGTTCCCTTGGGTTCCTAGTGGAACATAGGGCTTCAACTGCACATCTCCACTTGCTTCTGCCTTCTGCTCTACTTTTCACCTGCATCCATGTTAGTCCATACTGTTTCAACTCTTCTTCACACGATCTCCTCCATGTCACCCTTGGAAGTCCCACTCGCCGCTTCCCTTTCGCGTTCCACTCGAGCACTGGCCTGACGCGCGATGTCACCCAACGGCCTCCTCAGCGAGTGTCCAATCCATCTCCACTTTCTCCTGCATATTTGCTGGGCGATTGGTTCTTGTTTTCTTTGTTCTCATAGTTTCTTGTTGTTGATTCTTTCTAATTCATTGTCAGTCTTATTTATTGTTTCATTCAAAGAAATTTCATTTCAGCGACATAAGAAACCACGTGCAATGACAAAATTAGCTGTAACTGATAATAGTATTTCATACTTTTGTACAAATGAAAGGCACAAACAAGGCAATGATGACGATTTATTTATTTTAATTAAGTCAATCAAACAAATAGTTTTCCTCAAAACAGAAATTGACAACAAAGTATAATTTTCCTTAATTCAACAAGCAGATGTACTAGTTTAATCACAGAAATCATGTAAAATTCTGTGCTGAAAGTAATATTGATATAAGTATAAGTGCTGAAAAGTAATAGACAGGAAAAAATTTTCGATGTAGTTTTATAAGGAAAAGTGGAGTGGTAATCCTTGAAACATTTGGTTTAGGGATAATTGAATGATATAGTGAGAAAGCAGAGGAGAAATCAAACTATGTGTGTTTGATTTACGAACTATGATGACAACTGCACTACCACGTCAAATTGTAACTAATTACTGACTAATTTTGAATACTTCTATCTGTCTTTGATTTATTTTCTAATTACTGTGATTTCAGTTACTCAGTGTAGAGCATGAATGAACACCAACTGGTTATTCAACTTCACTTTCCTTACCGCATTCTTAAGGTATATTTTCATTATATGTGCATCAGCTTCTCATACCTTTAAAGTTATTCAGGGTCAAGCTTATTGTTATTCGTCACTTGATATGAGTCTTGAAAATCCAAATCTTGTTCTTTATGTTGAATGCAGTGCAAGAGACTTCCAAACTGGTTTCCAGTTGGTGAAGATGTATCTTGACTTTCCGATCCTCAGTGGCTTCTACATCCTCATCTGTGCCGACTGTAGTTGAAACGATACTGTCATTGATAGTGGGAGAGATGACTTTTCTATATTTCTTCCACTGATAGTGATTGGTGCTTGGTGTTACTGGTTGAGTATCTTCATCACCCGTATCTTCTCTGTGTTTACTTGAAGTCCTGTCTTCGCTGCCTATTTCTTCTGCCGACTTGTTGGCTGTAGATCTTCGAGTTTGTGTGATATTAGACATAAATCATTCGTGAAGTCTAGATCAACTACAATCTTTTCGGCAGCGCAATGTATTCCTGTTTTCTCACTCCCTACTGTCCACCGCCTGCTATCTCATATTTCATTCTTTGTTTTTTTTGGCTATTATTCATACATTACAGCTTCTATACACAAAAAAGACAGCGCTCATTTACGTCCCAATGAATCTTCACGTAAATGTCTCTGGTTTTACATAGATTTCTCGCCTATTACACTTTCCATATGAGTGTTTACAAGTGATATTCGGAAAAGTTATATTAATACAGACGAAGATTCTGTTTAGTAAATCGCTTGAACTTGTGAAATAGAAACGAATGTGACTCTTAATTTTAAAGTCAGATGGTATGATAAGTAAAATTCAAAGCCTTAGAGGGTTAGAGCGAAAGAAGACACATCAACAGACTGATTCTCTTAAGTCTTTCACCAGCTCGCGTCATTTCGCCTCTCCGATTTGAGCGAAGAATACTTTTTTTTCTATATTTTTATTGTTCCCTGGGGTTTCTGTAGCGACTGTATTGATTTACAGGGAGAGGGCAGCTATTCCTAGCCCTAACAATCTCTTTACCCGTGCTTGGGACCGACTAGAAAACCAGTGAATTAGTAAACTTGAAGAGAATCTTAATTATTTTTCTTATTTGATTATGGGTAATGGAATTATACTCTATCACAGAGCACAAGTTCTTTTCTTATTTGAATTTATCGGGATTTTAAGCGGGGAAATTTCGTCTCTGTGTGAGTTGGTTGGTTAAAATACCGCTCTTATTTTTACTCATTTCATTACTTTGAGTTCCGAGTGAAACATAGAGCCTCAAGCTTGAGCTCGAGCCACACGTCTAACCTTCCCTCTTTTCCGGTTAAGCGAGCTTTTTAAGAGTGAGTCTGCCTGGGATCGAACCCTTGACCTCATGCTTGGTTGGCGAGTATTATACCGCTAAGCTATCTGATCCATAAGGTTGATTTCCAACTGAGCTACAAATCTTCTCTATGATTTCAATAATGCCTTTAAACCCGTATATATAAGACAAAGTTGGGTCACATACTTAAATTCGTTGAAGCCTTGACCATAAAAAGGCTTGAACCTGTCTTATGTGTCCAGAACTTTGAACCTGTCTTGATAATCCAATTTAGAACCAGGTTTCAATTCACCTGATGATGTTTTCACCCTCTCCCTTTTTTCTTACCCCACATCCTTACGTCATCTTCTTACAGCTTATTCCTGACCTTGACCTGTACGCATTTTGACTTGCATTGAAATAATTCATGCTCTCTTGCCTTCCATATAAGTGTGTATTACGAGTAGGTGTTTCATAACAATGTCCGAAATGTGTTGCACAAATACATCACACATTTCAGATAGACTACGTTAATGTTTCGTCGAAATTCATAAAGGGAACTAATTGCTTTAAACTTTTTATCAGGAATGTGCTGGACCGTAGTTAGCCAAACAGACAGAAATAAAAATAATGTAACCCCCTAAAAAAATATCAGTGACCTGGAAATCTGTTGTTAACAGACGATTGGAGGAAGACTTTAACCTATTTTTGGTGCTTGTCAGTACTCATCATCTGAAATCTTAGAGGGACTTATGTCCTTCAGATTCGAACCCTTTTCAACCGGTGATGCAGTTAGATATGTTACCACCGAGCTATTCGGGCTCACGATTGACCTCCTGTAGGGTGGTAATAGATACTTTGACTGGATACTAGGTAGTAACTAGTGTCATGCGTCTAGTCCTTTGTTTGGTGCAGACTGAATTCTATTAGTCATGTCTGCAGTCTGGTCCAAATAGCTTAGCAGTAACGTATCTGACTGCAGCTCTGGGTGAAAGGCGTAACAGTGTCAGAAGGGACATGAGTTCCTTCAAGGTTGCATACACGCCTTCCTTAGGAGTGCCAACAAGCACAAAACCTAGGTCCAAGGTTTCCTATCAACTGCCTCCAACCATCTAATACCAATGATTCAGAGCGCACCATGTTGTCGAACCGCCTAGCATGATGGCTATATTGTAAACTTGACTGATAGAATTCAGTCTGCACCAAACAGAGGACTGGACATATTACACTAGTTACTTACTACCTAGTGTTCAGCCATATGCGTAAATCTATTCTGCGACCGCTTCAAATCCAAAGAAACAGTAGGACAGTCCAAGTGTAAGCCCTAATTCCTCTAAACATTCGGACCTACTGAATACACTTTCATTTTTGATTAGATGCAGGATTTCATCATGAGCTGATATCAGTTAGAGAACCATTGGAAAACCTTGGAGTACTGGACAGTTGTTTCGTCTCGGTTCGGGACTCTTCACAGCATGCATCCCACGCCAGGGGGCAAATCCAGGATCTTCTGGTTACAAGGCGAGTGAGCTCGTAGACCAATAAGTCACTGGAGCCCGATCCAAAGGCTAGTTCATGAATTCTAACTTCTTCCGATTTATGACATGGCGCGACCACTTCGCAATATCTTCGTCAAAGAGTAACTATCCTCGCCTTCAACCTGCTGATGCTCACTAGTGACTGGCCCTCTTCTGGCAGTTATCTGGTATTCTACTGGAAAGCCATGATCACTAGTGAACAGCAGGTCAAAGGTGAGGACAGTTACTGGTAGAAGAAGACATTGCGAAGTGGTCAAACTATATCGTGAATTGGAAGAAGTTAGAATTCATGGACTGGCCATTGGATGGCGTTCCAGTGGCTTATTGGTCTACGAACTCGCTCGCCTTGTAATCAGAAGGTCCTGGATTCGAACCCTGGCGGTGGATGCATGCTGCGAAGAGTCCTGAACTGGGCAGAAACAACCGTCCAGTACTCCCAGGTTTTCCAATGGTTCTGTAACTGATGTCAGCTCATGATGAAATCCTCCATCCAATCAAGCGAAAATTCCCTACAAAACCAATACTTGAAAATTCATCTTCATTTTACTTCTATCTCTTTTAAGATGCGTAAGTGAATATGGTTTATTGTTCACTTTGTAGCATACAGACTCTACCTATGGTGTTATTGTATAAAAGTAAACTGTGCTAAACTTTATATACAGTGAGCATTTGTTAGTGTATGATTTCTTTTTTTCATTTATGATCAAGTTGAAAAACGCTTCAGTTGTTGAAGCTCAAACTATACAACATAAACACGGAGAATGATATTATCGATTCTCAGCTATGCTTTAAACTCTTAGTCATATATTTATTTCAATTACTTGAATTTCAAAACATATATAAGCACAAATTAACACTACTTAAAGATTCTTCTGAAAGATAAAAATAGGATTTTTCAATGATTTGTGCATGTTTCTGCAAGTTTCTGTAAATAGAAACGGAGAGATTTAGTTCAATATTTAGTTTTATGGAAAAAACACGTATTGCCAATGATGAAGTAGTGACTAGTAAATTGTAATAAAAAAGCCCAATAAAAGCAACTATTTTATGTAGGATGTTTAAGCAGATGCCAAATAGTCATATATTTAGCCTGACTTTAACTTGAAGTAAAACTTGTAGTGAACTGACGACAGTATTGTAGCTTCTTAAAAGTAAGCAGTAGTATAAAGTTTCTTTGTTTCGGTTTGGGCCGGATCAGTAACACTAATGCTGGGAGAGATATTTACATAGCGCCGTCATCATCATCATCAGCTGTCATCAGTAAACAAATATCCTTACATTAGACTTCTTTAACCTGTTATGGCTTCTATACGAGACTTTGAAAAAGTCATCCGAAAATCCATCAATAATGAACAACGGATTGAAATTCAATTGTTTAACTGTGCCATGTATGTGTTTTAGTTCATTCAAATTTTGACTCAGTGAAGTTACTCATATCCTGTTGATAGTTTGTATTTTGTAGTTCAATGAGAACTGAGAAGATGAAATAATAAATGCGTTACTTTGAGTAGATCAAAAGGAAGTCAGTTAGGAATCTTCATAAGAATGTGAAGTTCAGTAAACACAGGAATTTTAATTGAATAAAAACCCTTGAAGAATACAAAAAGGATAGTTATCTCTATAGAGGTGAAGTGGATTCAAGAGAATAAGGATATTAGGAAGATAAATACATGAAGGATGTGTCCGTGGTACAGCAGTTAAATGCTGGCCAACCACGTATGTGGTTCGGGGTTCGATCCCCGACCAACACGCTACTTAACCTCACTAAGCCAGTAATAAAACTGGTAAAGAGGGAAGGCTGAGCATGAGGTTAGCAACCCTATCCTGTAAAATTAAAACACCACTGCTACCGTAACTTAACAGCTCTAGCTTGGAGCCCTATGTTCCACTGGGAACGTGAAGGAACTAAAAAAATACACGAAGAAGAACAAAGAATCAAATATGAGTAAACACAACAAAAAGCAGGTTGACAGTACACCAAGAACTCTCACACAGTGGATTCCAGACGACTAGCTTCTCCTCCTCCAAACATAAACTCAGTTTATTGAATCGAATCGTTGAATCTCTAACGATCGCATAACGATCCCTTGTTACATCATATAGCAACAGCTCAGAAAGCTCCAGGGGCCTCAGTACGTCGAATAAAGTAGCCTCTATTATTATTATGTCATTATCAATCGTATCATATTATTACCATCACTAGTATTAATACTACCTTACTCTTTATAGTCTACTTACCAAGGGATTATAATCACTTGAATACAAACTGTTATCGAACACGTGTATTGATGACCTACTTAAATAATCCATAGTTTGTTTTTGTACCCAATTAAATGTCCTAGTCTGCAATATGTATTCATTCATTGCATAATAGTATACGAAATTGTATATCTAGCGTAAAAAGCTGAAAAGTCTTAGTGAAATTTATGAATTCGCTAAATCCTGCTACTGAAGCTTCTGTTTCCAGTTTCATACTTGTAAGTGATTGAAATTACTTTTGGATAGTTGTAGTTTTTCACTTTTAAAGCTTTATTAGCTATTGCCTTTGAATGAAATATCTCATTCAAAAGAGGACCATAGGATTTTGTCTAGACTGATTGTATACTCTTGTTTAAGTAAAATTAGACTGTGTTTTCACTTACTATTCATTAAAACCATTATTATTATGCAACCAAATGATCACAATATAAACATTACTTCATTTTTGTTGTTGCTTTTTGATATTTGTTATGTATATCAGAGGACAGGACAAAAACAATTTCCATTCATTGTCAACTCTCGTCTATCTACAAATCCAAATAATCATAATGGTCATTTCACAGTTCAAAATGTACCTCAATCTTCTGTTGATGAATCTGTCCCTCGATGTTCTTTACCTGTATCGAAGCTTAATTCTAACGAATTTACTACTAATAATAGTAATAAGGTTCCTGTCCAAGAAATTATAAAGGATGATATGGTATGATGATTAATTATCATGTTATACATTTTACATTTCATTTAATTAAAGTCACTATTTGTTGTTTGTTTCTATACATATTAACCTGGTGGCATTAAAACATGAATGAGATGAAGAAATATTTTGAAACCTTCATCCCACATTGATTAGGCTATCCACACACTCGGTTTTTAAGTACTTTATTATAGCCTAATTACCCACTCAACCTACTAATTTATTGTCAGGGAAATGAAAGCATCGTTCTTCATAACAGATTAGGCTTGTAACTTAATCCACAGACATGTGTATGATTCGTGAGATTCTAAATAATTTCTTTAAGTAGAAGTTAATTGCCGGATGATAACTAACAGTAGAATCCAGGATGAGCATTTCGTCCTATATGGGGCTCGTCATCTGGATGTACCTGCATTCCACAGTGAGTGATGATGTTGCCACCGAGGCTCGAACCCAGTGCCCATAGTTTCAAACGCCAAAGCATTATTCACTAGACCACTTGGGTCACGACAGCCATCTCTTGTCCAACGGGTAATATTAATTATTTAATTGAATTTTAGATTTTTCCGTCGATTGATGGATTGGATCGAAGTGCTCGGTCTCAGGTTGACATGTCGGCTTCTTGTGCAGATGCTTCGACGATGTCTCGGCATGTAATTAGAAGTTAACTGGATTCCACTGCTGGTCACCATCCACTAATTAACTTTTAATTACATGCCCAGACATCGTCAAGGTTTCTGCACAAGAAGCAGACATATCAACCTGAGACCTAGCACTTCGGTCCAGTATATCAATCGATGGAAAAATCTAAAATTGAATTACAAAATTTCTTTAAGTATCTGAATGAGACATTGACTAACTGTGATTACAACAGGCATTAAAGTAATCACTTCATTCAATAAATCTGAGTAGCATTATTAGCAGATGAGGTTTATCTAAAAATATGATATATTTGAGCATCACACTACAGGTAGTTTGATCAAACACCTACTCATTAAGTCCATTTATATGAAATTCAAAACACCAAACATAAGATGAAACCAAAACAACAGGGGATTTAAGAGTAGGGTAGTATAGTCAGATAAGGATTTGCTAGGTAGGAAAGTATTACAACAGATCGTTTTATCATGTATATATAGGGCTTATGCTTTACAAATACTCATTTCTTAAGCATACTTTGGCAAGCGCTCATTACAACCTTCTTGCAAGTAAAGGTGGCAGACACAAAATGCTGTCCAAATTTGGTAACTGGTTATAAATTTTTGCCAGTCTAATATACTGTAAGAATAAGTAGGGGACGGAAATTTGCGAATCATTGGTTATCAGTTTTCAAATAAATGTAATTAAATGTCGTCAAATAGTAATACGATATATAAATTTTAGAAATTTTGCCAAGAAACTGATGTAATAAGCTACGTAGAAAGCTTGCAGGAACAAGTGAATCTGCCAAGTACCGTGTTACTATTATTATTCCTTTGGGTGTCCACTGGAACAGAAGGCTTCAACAGCACATCTTTTCGCTCCACTATTGTCCATAATCTCTGATATCCTCCTCACCCGGTTTTCTTCATGTCACTCTCAGACACCTAACTTGTTGCTTTCCATTTGGATTCCACCGAAGAATTTACTTGGTCCGTTTTGTGTACTAAGTAATCTCCTCAGCATATGTGCGATGCATCTTCATTTTCTTCTGCATAATTGTCGGCCAACAGGTTCTTGGTTGGTTCGTTTCCAGAGTTCTTAGTGGCTTGTGCTTTCTCGTTATTTGATCTTCATTAATGAGCTAGTGAAGTCAGCTGTTGACGAAAGTTTTCAGCAAGCTGTTAGAAACGCCCTACGTGACACACCCAATCTCTGAAATATATGGAAGCACTGACTCGACACTGCTGTTGATCCCAACTATAAACATAACTGAGTTTATGTTGTTTTATGCACACACTCTGTTAATTTTTTCTTTATTTTATGTATAAATGAGCATTATAATGCCCCCAAAGGATGTATTATTTAAACATATGTAAAGATTATACTTGCACAATCTCAGTGAAAGTGAAATAAATAATCCTAACGTTTCGTTTGGCAAACTAGTCTAAACTTCTTCAGGGAAATTAATCAAAATTAAAATAACAAAGCAGCCGAAATTTTGCAGGACTGTTCAGTCAAATCCTGATCATATTTTGTATAAATGACTTACTATTTCTTTCGTCAAATTATCTCTTTTATAAATTGGAATAGTACCTTAAGATTTCATTCACAATTTCTTACTCCTCATACGTGTTTCATATACTTCACCTGTAAATAGGATGACACGTTAAGTGACTTACAAAGGAATTGTAATCATTGCCGTCTTCCTATCTTCACAAACATCATCATTTTTATCAGAAATACTGAAAATGTTTTTTTTCTAAACCCTTGTAACGATAGAAGACAAGGGCCAAGAACAGATCGTTTATTGAGAAAATCAAGAGGTGTTCATTGATTTTTATGTACATTATCATTAGCATTGTTAGCAGAGAAGCAACGTCTTGTCATTAGTTGTTTTCTTGCTGAAGGTTATTCTGTCATCTCTTTATGGCCGTTTCTAAGAAAGTCAAGCCATATATCTGCGAATCGTATTTGCACACGTTAAGTCTGCTATGGTTAGTTGTTGAGTTCCTCAAGGTTATTGTTTCTTTCTCATGACCCCGATTCGGGACGTAAGAATTAACGTAAATTGTTGTCTACGATTTTGGCTTGTAGATAGCTCTCACCAAACCCTTACATTATTAGTTAGATAACAAGTGTCTGCAGTATTATAAATGGTGTACAGCACTTTGTGTCTCACGGTTTGTCTGTAAATACTCGCACTATAAAAGAAAGTTGTTTCTCCTTGCGATGTCTGCTTTCAAAGTACTTACTGATTATTTCTACTCTGTAAAATGCCTTGAAGAAATCAGTAGACCTCTGTGTGAGATTTAAGTAGGATTAATAGCTCATGTTACATTCATACTTTTTCGTTAAGAATTTAATACATACCATTCGCTACTAATTTTTGAAGTAGATATTCAAACTCGAAGTCTTTCAATACTAATTTCATTCCAGTATTATTATTCACCGGCAATAAAAAAACAAGTTGGTTACGTTATTTACACAGTTATATTCAGAAATGTTGGTTCCAATTAGAACATGCATAGTTTGAGTCACTGAATATTTGGTTGTACAAAGGCGGCTGGAGTGAAATTAACTTAGTGGTATACTAAAACAGATCATATCGTCATATGGCAGCAGTTTATTCGGTCACTGGTGGTCTATATGGAAATTGTAGGGAAATATAGGAATATAAATGAAATCTTATATGATTTGAATGAAAGTTAGTCCTAATTGAATTAGACTATTCGCTTTCTGTCCTTACTGATATTTTTCTTGCTTGTTTATTTACTCTACTAAGAACGTTCTTCTGGTTTACGTTCTTATACTTTTATTATTATTATTGTTTCCTTTAATTCCTAAAGGAACATAGGGCTTCAGCTGCGTGTCTCCATTGAATTCGGTTCTCTGCTAGAGTTTTCACCTGGCTCCAAGTCTGTCCACACGTTTTCATCTCCTCTTCACATGACCTCCTCAAAGTCACCCTTGCACTGACGACCAACTCACCGCTTCCCTTTCGGTTTCCACTCGAGCGATGGCTTGTCTAGTGATGTCACTTGATGGTTTCCTCAGAGTATGACCAATCCATCTCCATTTCTTCCTGCCTATTTGTTTCACAAATGGTTCCTGCTGTGTTGGTTCGCTCCCAGAGATCCTTGTTGCTGATCTTTTCTGGCCGGACATCTGATCTTGAGCAGTATTGAGCGAAGACAACTGTTAATGAAGGTCTGTAGTTTGTTTGAGATGCTCTTTATGACGCGCTGGCCAAGTCTCTGATCCGTATAGTAGCAGTGACTTCACATTGGAGTTGAAAATCTGGATCTTATTTTTGATTCTGAGTGCTGTTGACCTCCACACAGACTTGAGAGTAGTGAAAGCTTGTCTTGCTTTTCCGATTCTTGCTTTGATATCCTCGTCAGTTCCGTCTGCTTGTAGTTGAAACGATGCTTCCCAGGTAGGTAAAAGAGGTTGTTTCTTTCAGGTTCCTCCCATTTATGCTGATTGTTGTCTGTTGTTCTTGTTGCTGTTGGTGGTGTTGCCCGGGAATCTTCATCACCTCTGTTTTCTCTATGTTCACCTGAAGTCCCTTCTATCTTTGATGCTTCTTCTGCTAACTTGTTGCTTTTCGCTTGCGTATCTTCCAGTTTGTGAGAAATCAGACATATATCATCGGCTAAGTCTAGATCTTCCAATATTTTGTGTGAGTCCATTGTATGCCTGTTTCCTCATTGCCCACTGTTTGTCGCATTATCCAGTCTACTGCAATCAGGAAAATCACTGGCGATAGTAGGCAGCCTTGTCTTACTCCTGTCCTCACTTCGAAGGATTCTGTAAGTTTCCTGTTGTGGATTACTTGGCATGCAGCATTGTTGTACAGCTGTTGGATGAGATGTATAATTGTCGGTGGCACACTGTAGTAGCGATGTAGTTGCCAAAGCACCTCTCGATCGACGCTGTCGAAGGCCTTTTCAAAGTCGATGAAGTTGAGATAGAGAGGTGACTGCAATTCCAAGCTTTGTTCAATGATGATCCGTAATGTGGCGATCTGATCAATACATGACTTGTTTCTCCTGAATCCAGCCTGTTTCGCTCGAAGTTTTTCATCTCGGGCATGTTTATACTTTTATACCCTTTATGTTGCTGCAAATATGACAATGTTTATTATATTCTCCCAGCTAACCAGCCCTATTACAGTTGAATACACAACTCTGACAGCACTGATACCTAATCAGTGATTTATACCTAGAAAGTTAAAAAAACAGTCACAAAAATAACAGTATCTTTAGTTTGAAGTGGAAGATTTCAATCAACTTCATGAAATCTCCTTATACTTCCGTTGATTCATTGGTTTAACTTTCTATTTATACAGCTTCGGAAGTCCTTTTAATGGTGATTTGTAATTCATGGACCACTGAATCGGGTCCTAGTGGCCTAATAGTCTACGAGTTTGCCTTGAAACAGAGAGGTCCTAGTTTCGAAACCCGGTGGATGCGTACTGATCATGAGTCCCGAACTAGGATGAAACAGCAGTCCAGTACTCCCTTGTTTTCATTGGTTCTCTAACTGATATCAGTCTGTGATCAAACTTGATTTACAATGAATCTGTTTACTTGTAGTTCATATGATCAAATGAAATTATTCTCAACCTAGTATGATGATAAATATAAAGCATTGTGAATTCTTAAGTAAAACTGATGTTTACGAAATAATGAATAAGAACCTTACCACTTTAGTAGCATATCTTTCCCAATATAATATACAGTCTGACGAAGTATTACCAGTTGCAGTCATTTTTTGAATTCTAAACAAGATCAATCTAACTTAAAGTCAGAATTAAGCCTGATAAAAACAGAAAGACAAATTATCATTAGTCTATCCATCTTTACGCCCATAAACTTAGACTAGTGAAACCATTCTCTTGTTGTTTAAGTGTTAATCGATTGTCTACAACGACCACTGCTGTTGAAGAGAACAAGACGGATGGGAACAGAGTTAACGTCTCTTTGTAGAACACGCAATAAAAATTAACAGAATGGTATGCTCATAGTGTTTCGAGTAATGCGGACCGTTCTGCATCAAGTTTTTTTATTCTTCAGTGCCGGTTACTGACTTAATTTCTTCACGAAAATGCAACTCTATGCTTTATTTTCTTCTTCAGTACTTTTTCTATTGGCATACGAATTATTGTTGCTTCTCCGAAAATATTGCTCTCTCTATACCACACTACTGCCATAACTTCCTTATTGAATACATAGTATTGAACTCAGTAGTACCTCAGACATTTTATATTTTATAGTACGATCCGGAAAAAAATAGGTTAAATAGGCTTTATAAATATATACAGCACCTTTTTACTAGCCTATTCCATGTACAGTGCGACATGTATACACAGTCATTTACACTGCCATTTTAAATATATAGCAGTCGAAGTCTCTTTTGATACAGACTGTAGTAAACCAATGTTGTTAGATGGTTGGAGGGAATCGACAGGAAGTCTTGGACTTAAGTTTCGTGCTTATTAGCACCAACCATCAAGGCTTATCTGTAATCCTGAAGGATGTCATGTCCCTCCTGAGATTCTAACTCGTGCCACTCAGATCACTAGCCATAGCTATTTAGACACAGTGATCGCTTAGTCTGACTGGGCTTATCTAGTTATTCCAAGAATTGTGTTTTACATTTCCATTTGTAGACTAGAGGCTTATTGCTATCAGACCTGATAAAGTTTTGTAACCACAGACAATACACACTTTGTTAAGTGGTTCCATCTTTATAATTACTACATTGATACATTGAAAATACACTTGACTATTATCATTTGCTGAATGTCTCAATAAAAAAGCCTTTTTATGTTCATATGTAAACACCCTCTTGACTCATTGTATCTTTTTAAAAATATAAAGTTACACTAATTATTTATTTTTAATGTTACAGAACTATCCAGACATTGCAGTTGAGTCAGTAAAATATAAAGTAGAGAAATTAACCAACTTTATTGTCCGCCTTCGAAAACGAATTGAGTGAGTTCATTGTTACACATTTTCTTTACCAATACTTTCCGCTTTCATATAAATTTATTTATTTATTTTATTTATTTATTATAGCTTGATTCCACACCGTATTTTTGGTACAAGTATGAAAATTTCAGCATATGATATCGGTAGCCCAATTTTGCAGACCGACCATTGATATCGGGTGTGCGCCGGCAGGGGTTTGAACCCCGGACCATGTGCATGGTCGGCGAGAGTCATAAACACTGTGCCACCGACGCGCTATATTTATTTCATTCCTTCACGTTCCCAGGAAAGGAACATGTGGCTTCTAGCTAGAGATTGGAAGTTTCGGTAGCAATGGTGCTTATTTTACGGGGTGAGGTTACTAGCATCATGCTGATCCTTACCTCTTTACAGGTCTTACTACCACCTTAGCGAGGTAAAGGAGTGAGTCACTCCGGGATCTAACCGCGGACTACATGCATGTTTATATATTATGTTTTCCTCTTATGTACACATCAAAACGCATGTGTATTAACAAAAAGGATTTCATTGTGTGGTTGTCATTAAATATGCATTATTGTTAGTACAAAAAGTTTTGGTTAAATGCTGACGAAATGACAGTCATTTTACGTTAAAAATGAAACAATGTATCTCCTCCACTTTTTGCACGTTTATTATTATTGTTATTCTATTAAGTCCCAAGCGAAACAAAAGGCTTTATCCGCACACCTCTATTACACACCTCTATTTTCTGCAGTCTTTTTATAGCTGACTTCACGATCGCCCTTAAACTCTCATCTCCTCCGAACACAATCTCTTTCATGTCACCCTCACATGCCCACTTCGTCACATCCCATTCGGGTTCCACTAGAGGATTTGCCTGAAGCGTGATGTCGCTCAGTGGTCTCCTCAACATATGTTCAGTCCATCTGCGTTTTCGCCTGAATATTTATTGGTCAAAAGGTCCTTAGTTGGTTCGTTACCAGAGTTCTTTGTTGCTAATTCTTTTTGAACGGCAGTCTAATCTTCGATATAGACAGAACTCTATCAGTAAAAGTCTGAAGCCTTCTGAGAATGGTTTTGGTGATGCACCAAGTCTCCGAATCGTACGAAAGCACTGGCTGACTTGATATCAGTGTTAAAAATCCAAAACCTGTTCTCTATGCTGAGTGCAATAGGTTTTCACACTGACCTCAGACTAATGGAGGTCAGTCTTCCTTCTTCGATCCCCTCTGATCTTTACATCCTCAACTGCGCAGAATGTATCTGAAGAAATTCTGCCTCGATAAGTGAAATGGACGACTTCTTCTAATCTTCTGCCATCGATCGTGATTGGTGCTTGTTATTAATGAGGTAACTCTATCATTTCCTTCTTCTCTGTCTTCACTTGAAGTCCTCTCTTTGCTACTTGCCTCTTCTACCAGCTTGTTAGTTCTCGCCCGTAGATCTTTGAGTTTATGCGACATTAAATATAAATCGTCAATGGAGTGGGAACCTATTAGTTTCTTCTTGTCGGTCCAGTATATGCCTGTCTTCTCGCATCCTAGTGTCTGCTGCATGATTCAGCCCGCCACAACCAGGGACATCATCACTACTAACGGACTGCCTTTTCTTTCTTCTCTCTTCACTTCAAAGTCTTCTCTGAGTGTTCCATGGTAAATCGCTTGATATGTGGTGTCATCATATACCTACTGAATTAAATTGATAATGTTTTGGGACACTCCGTAATTCTTGAGCAGTTTCCAAGTTGCTTTGCGGTCAATCATGGCGAAGTCTATAAACTTAAGTTAGAAAATTGATTTCTATTATATTATCAGTTCGACGATGATTCGCACATGGTTTGCTTTTCCTGAATTCATCTTGTTCCGAGTGAAGTTTTGCATTCAGAGCACCTTTTGCTCACTCCGGGATGAGGCGATCTAATAATTTTTCGTGGAATTGACAGGTTTGAACAGTTTAAGCAGCTCATAACTCCTAACTAATTGAAACTAAACGTCGGAAAGGATAATCTGAAGATACTTGTTCAGCTTGCCAATGGAAGTAGAGAAAATATATTTACTGTGACTAAGAAATAAAGCCTATTTAATTTTTAAAAGTCTGCCATCAAATTCATGCACTATTAATTTATTATAAGCGTTTAATGGATGATTAGGAAATGCCCCAGTTCCTGCGTTCGATCACCGGTGAAGTCATGCATGCGTACTGATGAAGAGTCTCAAACTAGGGTGAAACAACTGTCCTAGACTGCCTGTGTTTGAATAGTTCTCCGATTGATGACAGTTAGTGATCAAGCCTCAACACTTGAAAATAAGTCTCAGTTTAACTGCTCATTTTATGCATTGTTTAAAGCAAAACATCACTGAAAAGACCATTGATCGAGATCAGAAGTACAATAAAACTAGCTTGATTGAGATTCGGTGACATTTCGATTAGATTTAATTACTTTTGTCATCATAAGGAACTTTATGAATGTTATGTTATTTAGCCTTTTATCATACTGACAACTGATTGTTTCATAGTTCTGACCTTAATCCTTCTGTATTATTATTAATTTGAACTTATCTTACTGTTCAGAAAAAAGTTGTTTAGATTAAGACTTCTTGACCTGATAGATTCACGAAAGTTATGATTATCTTAATGCAAAATTATAATTATGATCCGAAAAATCAATATATGTATATATATTACCTTGTAAATAAATCTGTTACCTCAGTAACTGCGACAGAAATATCTTAAATAGATTTAAACTGATAGCGTGGGGTAAGTAGCTGAACTTTTCAAATACATACGAAAAAAAGTCAACTAAAACTTGGACACAACTACATATATTCACCTTGAAAATTAAACCCATTAGTGTAAACATAAACACTGGCTCGTGAATGTCAAGCATAACACTGATGAAATCAAAGAGATCGTTAATTTTTATGAACAGCTTGTGATGAATGGATTAGAAGGTATTGTTAAAAGAAGAAATTCTGTGCTTCTCTTATATTTTGTCATCTTTCAGGTGTTGGTTTATAGGGAATTTGTTTGACTGGTTGGAGGATTTCATCATGAGCTGATATCAGTTAAAGAAACACTGTAAAACCTGCAGAGAGTACTGGAGACTCTTCATCAGCACGCACTCACCGCCAGGGTTTGAATCCAGGGCCTTCTTTTCACAAGGCGAGATCGTAGACCAATAAGCCACTGGGACCCGGTCAAATGATCAGCCCATGAATTCTAACTTCTAGATATGATGGAGAAGATTTGTAGCTCATGTGGATTGCATAATGCACAATTTGAGAAAAATGAAGAGAAATTAAGAAACAGAGTGTGCTCAAGTTGATCACGTTACAGATTATTAAAGAAAAATAAAACGACTAGGACAATTGAAACTTGTAATTAAAGGTGAAGTAATCAGAAATAAATAAAATAATTTGGACAGTTTTAATCTTTAGAGAATCAGGGGGAGGTTGTTCGAAGTAGTCCGGTTTATACATTCATGTAACAATGGTCAAGGTAAAGAAAGTAGCTGTACAGATTTATTCTGAACTCACAGGTTTGCCTTCTTCAGGTGGATTCCTATTGCTTCAGCTGTTTGTAGAAGATGGACTCGTAAAGCAAAATTAAGATTAGTAGGAATGCAGTAAATAATTGTAAATGCTGTATTAACGTCAAGTTTTTGCCCACTATCTACAAGGTGTGCTGGAACAGAGCTACGAATAGATCTTGTTTGTCCCTTGTTAAACCATGCTGGATGAAGTTCAGAAATACAATTAATCAGGTTCATCAAGGTATTTTCGAACATCATCCAGCATGGTTATGCAAGGAACAAACAAGATCTATTCGTGTGTCTTAATTTTCCTCGTTAATTATCACCCCATTGACATTTTGACAGTGACTAATCACTTTTAACAAACATATCGCCACTTGATTGGTAAATTGTTGTGTATTGTAATAAAAATGCTGTATATACTGGATTAGAGCGAGAGATGAGGATCTAATTGAAAAGTAAATATTTCATTGCTCTATCCTTTTGCTTTCTAAATGTTTAATGGGGATTTTTTTTACTGTCGTGGTCTGTTTTTTAAATCTTCATTTCGTTATATGAAAACTGAAAGAAACATCTTTAGTAGTTTATCTATTTTGTCTATCCACTCAAGACTGTACCATTTATGCGGTGCATTTCTAAAACGCACTAGTTTCTATCGTAGTTCCTTCCACATAAGAATTCCACACAGTCTTAATCATAGTCTATGTGTGAAATAAGACAGGTATAGGCAAGTATTGAGAAAAGAAGTAATGTCACCAATAATAAGTTCAAATATGCGTCGGTGGCATAGCTGTTAGGACTCTCGCCGACCATGCAAATGGTCCAGTTTTTTATCCCCGGCCGACGCAGACCTGATACCAATGGTCGGCTTGCTAAATTTGGGCTACCGATATCACATGCTGAAAATCCCATAATTCTATCAAAAATACTATGTGGAGTCAATCTACAATAAAAATAAGTGGAAAATGCGACAGTGTTGTAAGAATGACATAATGTGGAGCATAAATTATTATAAACAAAGCAAAATTACAAGGGATAAGAGGAAGAAGTAACCTTAGAGATAAGATGAAGTTTTGATCCAAGTTTTGCCATGTTGGGAACAGTTGCTGAACGTGTTCTTTTTGAATAAAAAGCTCCGATTTAGTCAATCTTATTGCAATAGCTTCAGCTGTAAGTAGAAGACCTGGTCAAACGATGCACGATAATGAATTCCGAATGTGGTGGATAAGCCTAAGGGCTATATTCGCGTCGATACGATATCTTCTGTCCACCAAATTAGACAGAATTCAACTTCTTATGCATTTCATTTACCCTTTACTGAATCAGGCTGATAAATGCTTTCGAACCCGTAGACGAAGCTGCCTAATCATATCCCTTATATAACCTGAGCCTCAGGAACAGATGAAACGGTACATGCATGGTGAAGAGCTAAGATTGAACAAGATATCTTTCAGTTTCTGGATGGGCTTTGGTTGGCTACTGAAGGATAGGAACATATGTGCAGAGTGGAATACTCTTCATCCCAGAACTCTTTCAATAGTCCCGAATTTTCCATTTATACTATTCACACCTTTTATTAGTGATGTTACCTCTTTTCTCATTGTATTCCATATCACAATTATTCAAATAAACTTAGCTTAATGGAATGTACTAAATAATTACCTAGAATTGACAATGATCAGGAAATTTATCGCTGATATGTAAGTTTGAATAGTTCCGAATTAGAATAAAGACGACTTCTAGTGCTTACTGGTTGTTCGAAATTTTCTAATTTATGCTGACTTGTAATCGTAGCCGCTTTGAAATTGATCTGCTTTCTGTTAACCTTCTAAAGTACAAGTAAAACATCATCTGTATAGAAAACCGTTTTCAATCACTTCTGAATCCTCAGAAAGTCCTGAAATCAGTCTATGCATGTTTATTAAATAAGTAATTTATCTAATATAACAGTAAGTTATGAAGAAAAACTAAACATCCCTAAAATTATTTCCTTCGACTGAACAATATTCATGAATTGTTTTCATTTTTCCGCATAAAAATTACTTATTGATTAATATCGCAAATAAGAATTCCAATAAATCTAGGGTTGTATAGAATTGAATGAATTGTTGATACTGAAAGGATTTTTATTAATTTTTCTTTAGATGTATTGAATAACTGAACAGATTACATTGTCTTCATATCTTTATAAAAACTCATTTAAACTCTACAGGTCTATCTATGTCAGCTTGTAAACCAATAGCGAAAAATACGAATGCATTCTAGTAGTAATTTAATGTTAGCAAAGAGCTGTAGCTAGTTTTTAACTTTCAGAGCTTGTTCTGAGGTGAATTTAATTCAAACTAAGGTTGAAGTGTGTTTGATTATAATTTTTTATTGTTAAATTTATCACTAATAACTTAATTATTTTTATGATTATTCAAACAGACGTGACTATGCGGAACATGGCACCTGTTCACCAGGTGATGACGTTTTCGGAGAAGAAGCTGTAGGCGCTGTTATCGCCGGTCGACCAACTGGTATGCATCCAGTAGTTGCAACATGCCTACAAAATCTACGTATCCTTGAAGTGAATGCACAAGGTGAGTTTGACAATGAATGTAAACGCAATACAACACGTTATGACTGAAGTAAATTAGGAGCACACAGTTTGGAAATCTTCTGCACTCATTCTGCATAAAGAACAAGATTTGTATTTTCAGCACAAATGTGAAGTCGGTAATCTTATATGGGTCAGTAACTTGGCACGTCACATAGAGGATTTCCAACAGGTAGCAGACTTTTACCAACAGCTGCCTTCCCTGGCTCCATACTGAAGGTCAGATGGCCGACCAGAAGGAATCACTAATAAGAAACTGTAGGAAAAAGCCAAGCAAGAGCCGATTGCTCAACAAATATGTAGGAGAAAATGGAGGAGGCCGTCGAATGACATCGCGCTGCAGGCCAGCCCTCTAGTGTAATTTAAATGGGAAGAGACGAGTAGGTTGTTCCTGGGTAATGTAGAAGAGATCTTACGAGGAGGAGATGAGAGATTATGAGCAGTCGAAGGTCCAGCTGAAGAGGACAGCAGAAAATAGAGTAAAGTAGAGACGTCTTGCTGAAGCCCTACATTAAACTCGGGACCCAAAGGGAATAATAATGCACAGTTTACACTATGGGGTTCATTGCAATGTGTCACTCAGTATTAGGTAAATCTCTAAAGAAGAGAAATATCAGACGTCGATAGTCAGTTGTTGAGAATATATATATGTATAATTCTACAGAGAATCTATACTCTATCATACTATTCAAGTTCATTTCGTAAATCATTGTAAGGAAATTTGTAGTTCCTTCTATAAAGGAATTCGTGTCACGTTTCTGCACTTAGAAAACAATACTTAGTTTAGCTATACATTTCCTTCTTCTCATACAAAATGAGAATTTAGGAATATGTTGTTTACATGCAGAAAATGTTTTTGATTATAGCTTGATTCCACACCGTATTTTAGGTACGAGTAACGAATTTTCAACATGTGATATCGGCAGCCCAAATTTTGCAGGCCAACCAATTGATATCAGGTGTGCGTCGGTAAAGGATAGAACCCCGGACCATTTGCATGGTCGGCGAGAGTCCTAACCGATGTGCCACCGACTTAGAAAGAGCTAACTGTGAACAAGTTAAGACATATATATATATATATATATATATATATATATAGGGCATAAATGCATTATCTGTTTACGCAAACTATATATATATTTTCTATAGTTTGGTTTGTAAGGATTAGTTATGTTTTACGAGTTGATCACGGACTGATATCAGTTAGAGAACCATTGAAATCCAGGGAGTACTGGACAGCTGCTGTTTCATCCTAGTTTGGGATTCATCAGCAGTACGCTATCAGTCCGTGATCAACTCGTAAAACATAACTAATCCTTACAAACCAAACTATAGAAAATTATTCTGATGCTCACTAGTGACTTGCTACAGGTTGGAGCTTCTTGCAGTTCTAGTGAGAAGTCGTGACCAGTGAGGTCCAATTAGATGTCACGTGTGTGGATGGATGTCCCACCAACGACAATGGTTGGGGTCGCGCTAAAATCACGAATCGGTAGAAGTTAGAATTCATGAGCCATTGAATCGGGTCCCAGTGGCTGAATGGTATACGAGCTTGCCTTGTAACCGGAAGGTCCTGGATTCGAATCCCAGTGGGTGCGTACTGCTGATGATTCCCAAACTAGGATGAAACAGCAGCTGTCCAGTACTCCCTGATTTTCAATGGTTCTCTAACTGATATCAGTCCATGATCAACTCGTAAAAAATATATATATTTATATGTAATCTGCTTAACTGAGCATCTCAACCTGGTAGTGAACAGACGTTCCTAATATTATTCAACATGACTTGAAGCTGCTAGTCAACTTACAGATAAATTCATTTTTATTTTCCTTCACTCTATGAACTTCTCGTTACTCTTCACTTACTTGTCCTCCTTCTGGTATCTTTAACGTAGTTTAGAATTTTACGTTGTTGCATGATGCTAATAAAATTATAGAAAATGTCTTTTTTTCTTTCTCACATTGATACCCTTTAAGACTCGAAATTCGTTAGTTCGTTTAACATCATTCTGGATAACATCATTTTACTACCTTAAACGACGTAATTTGAGGACGATGTTGCTCCTAACTTATGCATTTATACTTAAACTTAGAAATTAGTTTGAGGACCTCGCCAAGATGATGTGAACTTTTCTTTGCTACGAGAATTTCTACAAAGCAGAACACTCAGTATAATAATTGCTTCCAGTTTATACTACAAAGGATAGGTCTATGATTTGTAGAGAAGATCTGAATAAATTTTTGTATTGAGAATGGGAAGCTGACGATTATAAGTATTCATTTTTCTTCGGATATAATAAAATGTTGATTTAGAAGACCTTTATTATTAACGTGTCTTCGAAGTTATTCTTCGTGGACTGCTCACAGCACGGCCAATTCGATCCTCTTGTCATAGTCATCGAGAAGGTCTACAGCAATTTTTTTCTGGTCATAGCTTTTATGACACTCTGAGCTGATATTTTTAAAACTTTAATTGTTGTCTTTATGTCAGGGAAACCTGCTTACAAGCCTAAGTGTTTTTTTCTAACATTTTGATAGAAGTTTGACTTCGACCTTTCATGGTAAGTACACAGAAGGTTTTAATGATAAGATCTTTCAGGTTTACACTAAATAACACATAGTGAAAACATTTTTTATTCCTTCACGTTCCCAGTGGAACATACGGCTTCAAGCTAAAGGCAAGAAATTTCGGTAGCAGTAGTATTTATTTTTACAGGATGGGTTCGCTAGTCTCATCCCCAACCTTCCTTCTTTTCCAGCCTTATCACTGGCTTAGCGAGGTAAAGGAGTGCTTCATACGTGATCGGCGAGCATCCTACCACTGTACCACCGAGGCACTACAGAAGACATTGTCTACTATTATACTTCTTATCAAAGTTGTTAGTTGTTGCAGTTCATCCTTTTTACCCTCTATAAACAATATCTGAAAGCAGTTTAGATTTTCTCAGTATTACTAGATGCCCGCGTTGGTGGCACAGCAGTAGAACACTTGCCAATCACATAGGTGGTTCGGGATTCGATCCCCGGCCAATGCACTCCTTTACCTCACCAAGCCAGTATCAAGGCTGGCAAATAGTAAAGGTTGGGGATGAGGCTAGCAATCTCATCCCGTAAAAATAAACAGCACTGCTACTGGAATTTCGAGCCCCTAGCTTGGAGCCCTATGTTCCGCTGGGAACGTTAAGGAAAACAAAACATTTGAGTGAGCAAAGTTTTGTATTTATACGTTCTGTGCAAAGCATTCAATATTACTGTAATCATAAATACAATATACAGTGAAATTGAACAAGTAAGAAACGTAAACCTTCCCTGATATATTTATATTCTAATCTCTTTATTTTATAAATCAAATGAATACAAATAGATGTAAGTGATATTTTAGCTTTAACCCACACACCAATATTAATTTCACTAGGCATAGTTAACAACTGCTGGTTTATTTCGTTGTTGTTGTTTTTTTTTTCTCTTCTACATAGAAATATTCAATTTACTCTATCCAAATGAAGTAGATTTCTGGGAACCAGCAAGAGTGTGTTTAGCAGAAGGCAAAGATGATGAAAAATTATTCAATGATGCTCGAAGTCAAATTACTGAACATTTAACTACTTCAATTGAATCCTCTATAAAAGTGAATAATACAACTATCAATAATAATAATAATCATGAAAAATCTTCTAGTCCAGTAAACAGCCCTCCTGATTTATCGCCTTTTGCAAATAAAGAGACAGATATGCTTGGTGTAGCAGATTTAATTTAAAAACTTACCTGTTAATAAATAAATGCATTATTTTTGAACGATTTCTTATCAGTCACATTGACATTTGTGATTGTCGTCCCCCGATCTCCTTTCTTCTTCTTATTATCTCGTCATCATCATCATCACCATCATCATTCCAGTTTTGTGAATGTTGTTAGATTTCTCATTGTACTACATACACAGATTAGTTTTGAATACCTATGATTGCTATATATGAGCAATAGTAATAACAGCAACAACAACAACAAAAATGATCATTATCAAAATAGTTATTACGTCACACTGTATATGAATTACTCCTGATCTTCTCTTTTCTAATAAAATCACCTGTAATATAGATAACATTATCCTCGGTTTGTTTTGCTTTTATTGAATATTTTTCATTGTTGTGTATGATGAAATCAGAAGTAAAAAAGGGAAAAAAACACTGGCAACGAATTTCTCCAAAATTTACAATGATAATAATTTGAAAGCCAAAAAACCATGTGCCTATCAATCAAATGAAATTTGTGTAACTGACAGTGTATGTGTGTTACAAATGTGTACATAATAAATAATTGGTTGTAAATATTCCTTCTAACGGAAAATTCTTTTTATCGAGTGTTTTCCCTCATATATATATATATATATATATTTAAATAGGCCGACAGGGTTTTGAGATACGAAGTTCTGCTGATGTCAGTGCTTATGTTACCCTCTTTTCACAAATCAATTAATTAAAAAGGAGTTAGACAATTCGGGTGAGGATAAATGCTATCGCATTTTAAATTTACCTCGCTTCTGGTTTTGTCATCCTTCACTGGCAAGAACAGTGGTGGTTAGTTGGATATTTGATTTGCCGTAGGTAGGTGCTGTCATGAAGGGTGTTGTGTGGATGTATTATGCGTGCTTTGTCAACTACTGTAATGAATCTAAATGTAACATTTGACTATTCTAACATTTGATAGTGTGGAATATTCCCATATTATGAATTAAAAGTCAATCTGAACGAAGAATATTCTTTTCAATAATTTCTCCGCTTCAGGTTCTTACAATTATAAAATATAATATTTGTTGTCGTTACAATAAAGGCCAGTTATGCGGCGGATACATTTTTAACGTAGAATAACAGATTAGTTATGGGGTGTCAAAATAAATAGTCGTATTTGTGTGACAAACGTGCTAGGCTGAAATCGATTACAAAATATTGTGAAACGGGAGAAAATGGTGGTGATTAATCATAATAGATTTGTAGAGTGTGGGGTAGGAAAATTGACAAGTCAGTTCAAGGTTATAAAAGGTGTCAGGTGAGGGGCTAGTACAAAGAGGTCTGTGTTGAACAGGAGATAGTAAGACTGCAATGAGAGGTTCATAATGAAATAACGAATATGTGAAATGAAACGGGTAGAGGTATATATTAAGAAAAGAGATAATATTACTAATAATAAGTCCGGATAGGGTAAATGAAATATTCGATAGTATTGAGAGAATGTTTGCACGAATAATAATAATATTATTAATAATAATTGTAATAATAATATTTGTGATTATAAGCAAAGGAAAAAACCCCAGAGGGTTAAGGGGAAGGAGCATTCTTGGTGAGAAGAAGAATCATCAATCCAAGTTCGGCCACTGTAGGAACAGGCTCTGAAAGTGTTCTTTTCGATACAAAGTTCCGGTTTAGTCGATCTTACTGCAACAGCTTCAGCTATGTGTGGGAGACGTAAGCGAACTGTACGTGATAACGACTTTGGAATTCGGTATATAACCCTGAAAGCTGTGTTGATATCGATAATATTTTGTAATCAATTTCAGCCTAGCACGTTTGTCACACAAATACGACTATTTATTTTGACACCCCATAACTAATCTGTTATTCTACGTTAAAAATGTATCCGCCGCATAACTGGCCTTTATTGTAACGACAACAAATATTATATTTTATAATTGTAAGAACCTGAAGAGAAATTATTGAAAAGAATATTCTAACGTTGTTTTTATACTGCGACAAGACTTTTTTCGTCATACACTCCGTTGGGATTTGTTAGCCGTATCGGTTGCTATCAATGACTACGATCGCGTAGGTTCTCATGCCTTTCTTGATTTATACTTATACGCGTGATATTATCTTGATTGATATTTCTCACTCATGTATTGCAATATTGTGTTTTTTACCGAATTAAATTTAATTAGCTGTGGCAGCAATGGATACTAATTGACGAAGCCTTTTTCGAAGTCCACCGAACGTAACCAGTACGATTGAAAGCAGCACAGACGTAAGTGGAAGTTTTCGTGAAGTAATGCTGAGAAGGCGTTTTTCTTTAGCTGGGAGGAACTAAAGAATGCATTAGAAGAGTTTCGAAAAGTGAGGAAGTCATTTAATGCTAACAGTATAGTTGTCCTGCACTCCTTATTATGAACATAATACAAGGAAGTATCTTTTTTCGACTGCATAAGCCTAAAAATATTTAAATTCACCCTATTTCCGCAGAAATAGACGCTCGAAACGCCCTCGTGGTCATGAACATGATGCCCGAAAATGCATCACGATAGCCTTTATCCTCCCTCTAAAATTTTAAAGCTTCTTCTAAAAAGGAAACATGATTCGAAATTACACATCTGCTTAATTATAACAAAAACAAATACATCTGAACACCTGTTGAACCCTTTAATGCCTAATGCATTTCACTATCATATGAATGCAAGGCGATGTTCATTAGGCAATTTAATTAAAGTCCAAATAGGTATATATTTACGGGTACATAATCCACATGTAATAGTTAATTTATGAATAGTTATGATCTTGCATAATAGGTGTATTTTTAAGGATAAATGCGAAAGTTATGACAGCAGGCACTTAATATGACAATAATAATCACTTTATTTCAAATAATGATTTTTATACAGAATGTACAGACTGCAACAATTTATCTTCTTCTACAAACATGTTTAAAAAAAGGATAAAAATAGCAAAACTGCAAATCCTTAACTGAACAGAAAAACAATATGGCGAATTCAGACATCTAGAAGACAGAAGAAAATTTGAGCAAAAAATATTCTTTTCGATAATGTCCTCTTTAGGCTCTCCAATTATATATATATATATACATATATATATATATATTATATAGAATATTCTAGAATAATCGTCACAAACAATATTGGTGCCTTTAAATATTATCGATTTGTGAAGTAACATCAATGGAATTACAGTTCACGAAAGATGCATAAGTTATAATAAGCATAAAAATGTAATAGTGAATAGAATATCAAATAAAATTAATTTTCAAGAGTTTGGTTTGTAAGGAATAGATTTGTTAATGCGAGTTTGACCACGGATTGATATCAGTTAGAGAACCATTGAAAGCCAGGGAGTACTGGACAGCCATTTTATCCTAGTTTGCGAATCATCGGACAGAGTTTCCTGGAGTTCTAGTGAGAAGTCATGACCAGTGAGGTCCATCCAGTCAATTGTGAAGATACATGTCCAACCGATGACATTAGTTGGTGGTCGCGCTAAATCATGAATTGGTAGAAGTTAGAATTCATGGGTTGGGCATCGAATTGAGTCCCAGTGGCTGAATGGTATACGAGCTTGTCTTGTAATTGGAAGGTCCTGGGTTCGAACTCCAGTGGGTGCGTACTGCCGATGATTCCCAAACTAGGATGAAACATCAGCTGTCCAGTACTCCCTGGTTTTCTATGGTTCTCTAAATAATATCAATCCGTGGTCAAACTCGCATAAATAAGATTAAGGAAATCTCTACAACAAATTAAGGATCATTGGAACCTTGATGGCCAGTGAAGTAAGGAAAGCGTCTGAACTAATTTCTTTCGGATACATATATTAGGCTTCTTAATGTAGATTCCAAAAGCCTCAACGATATGTAATAGCCGAACTATTGAGGTAAAATTAAGCCACAATATACGTGATGATAATTCTCGTTATAAGCTGCTGTTTATGCACAGATTGCACAGGAGCTTTACAAGCTCTTTTCTTATATTTGTTTCTTCACACAGCACCCACCTTAAACATGTTTGTTTGTGACCCGTTTTGTGCGCCTACAACACTTTCCTTTTAATTGGCAACTGATAAATGGTTTTGGGGTAATGTGCATTCATTAGATGTAAACACAGGCTGAAGTAAACTAACCAGAAAATTCTAAAAAGTAATCTAGGTAGGTGGAGAGAGAGGTTGATTACTGAATCTTTGTTCATCGAATCTACACCCAACACATGCAATAGGAATGAATCATCACTCATCCCTGAAATATGGAAAATAATACTACCAATCAAATCAAGTAAAAATCAAGTGAAAAACAATGGAACTATATAAATGAATTTAGGAAGTCGTGTGATTAACTTGATATGATTATGAGCAATAAATTGTGCTCGAAACGTCATCAGTAAATATTACTGTATAACACTGTGAGACTCTATCAAAATAAAATTTACCCATAATGGAAGAAAGGTGTAGGCTCTTTTATATAACAATATGTACTGTAAACAGGTGCTTGATAAAAATATTTCATTTTTATTTTGTAAGGAACTTTCAAACTTCACAACTGTGAAATGTGGTAAATTTTCTTCTTCTTCTTTATTAAGCAATCATATCACGAACATTTTTTGATATCACAACAGTCAGTCCCTATTTAAACTTTAACAAAAATTGACATTCACAGGATTTGACACATCTGAGTCGCTTTGTGTATTTAAACCAAGCAAGAACGAAGATAATTGCTGAATACACAGAGTTTATTTTATTTCAGTTACTAGCAGTCCAAAAATAACATAAATTATCATGAATAAATGTAAATTTGGGTAATTTACTTCAGAAGTATCTAAATTAGAAGGACGGTACTGAAAAAGGAGACCCGAATAGAGGATACTTAATATAGAAATAATCCAACAACTAAAGTTTATTTACACGCAACACATGGCTGCTACACAAAAGTAATGATATACATAGATTTTCTGTAGTAAGTGAAAATCATTTAAATGATTCTTGTGTAAAAGCAAGC